ATCCTGGCTGTTTATCAATCGTAAACCAAACTTTTCTTTGTACATCATTTGAATGCCAAGTTTTCGTCAGCACCTAGTCATGGAAACCCGTAGAAAACTCCAGCAATGAGAGCCGATTTGTTTCATGGACCTCCTCTTTTTGACATCCTGACCAAAGTGCCATACCGAATCGAGCCACATGTGATTGGGCAGACGAGACTATTCAGTAAACCAGCCTTCAACGTAAATTTGTCGTCAGGACACTCGAAAGGGATGTCCTATTTCTTAAATCATATGATTTTAGGCTGTGTTAGAGAACAGAACTCGCAGAGCTGCTATTCTCCACGGCTTGTTTACTGAAATGCGCTTGATTTGCTTCCTCCATATTGGGCAAATCGGTCCTTCGCTTTGACAAGGTTACTTTGGCTCAACTATTGCTTCCATATGGTCTACCGCTGATGAAGTAGAAGCACCTCCTTCACCAGAGGTACAACTGTTGTATGCATCTGCACAGCTCCAGCAGAGTCTGGTTATGCCACTTCAGGCCCCTCTCCACGTGTCTGTCACGGACTCAACCTGTAGATAAGGTTGGTCACCAGTGGTCAATCATGCGCGGCATCACATTTTTATGCCTTTTTTTCCACAAAATGTCTTCCCACAGCCACAATTACTTGTGTCTCCGTAATACAGACAATATCCGCACCAGCCTGATCTATGGCCGGATCCCGCTTGGCGGTCGTGTCCCTTGTATGTATGCAACCATCACGCAAGTCAATATGCATACCTGCATGTATGAAGTTGAGTTCGGCTGTTCCGTTCCGCATGATTGCGTATTGCAGGTTTGCATCTTCACAGGCCCGCGAGACGGGTCTTCCAAGTGGGTTTAGGTTCTATTTGGCTTGAAGAAGCTGCTCCTTCGACGACACGTCCAGCTTTGGCGTGGTCGTTTGGTAAACTCATCGCGTTGGCGCAGTTTTTCTGAAAGCAGGTCAATATAGTACATTTCAATCAGGCGCTGCTTTCCTAGTCGGAGGTCACTTGTCAGAATGGAGGTTTTTATATTTTGAGCCTTGCCTTAAATTCACGATATGAATCAATCTAGGTCCTCAACAGATCTGAGCTTACAATTTATTTCGGATTTCTTTTTCCGTGGTTAGGCTGGTTTGTTGAAGAGTGGGCCGCTCCAGCTGGAACCGTTCTACTCAATTTGATTAAATCCCCAAATCAGTTTGCTTCTAGTATACCGAATAGGCATGCGCACACGGTCGTCACTGCCTAAGTCTTGTGAAGTATCATTCTATAACTGTTGTCGAGAGGGTCTTGTAGGCATGCATGCATCTATTTAGA